CAGATATCTTACTATCATTTTATTTTGTAAATGAGATAGATTTTTTTCCAGAGTGAAGCAACCCTGGAGCAAACACATTATTACACAAAATGATAATAAAAAAATAAAATCTCAACGGAAACAAATGTAATTCATCAAGTAATGCCGAGCTCTACAAGAACAAGCCAAGGGACACCGCAACCCGGAGTGGTACATGCATGCCTGTATTTACCTCGATGATGCAGATCCAATTCGATTGTTATTTTTATTTAAATTTATCACATATATTAGTACTTAGTTATAGTCTCCTTTTTCATATTTTTATCGTAAAATGATTAAAAATCATATTTCAATTTGTAAGCCCTGCATAAAGAAAAAGAAATTACCCCAAATGGGAGTTAAACATATGGAAAGTTCATTAATAGGAGTTCTTTAGCTAATTTCCCCAAATAGGAGCTGCTGTCTGCCGCCATATCTTTTATTTTTTATTTTTTTCCTTAAATGCCCTTACTTTACATGGAAGCATTGCCACATAAGTAACCTGTTTCTAACCGTTTCTTCCGGTTGGAGATTTCCTGCGCAGCTCTGCTTATTTCGTTCTTCGTCTGCGATTAACACTCTTAAGCATCGTCTCAGTTCTTTCTTCTCTTCCGACTTGCCATTGCTTCTGATTTTGCGAATTTAGTTTGTCATTCGCATTACACATATTTGTGCCCTGCGTTTTCTGCAGGTAAGCTTACTGTTTGATTTTCTGGAATTTTGATTACATCATTCTTCGAATGTTCTTCTAATATTCCTGAATGATGATGATATGTAATTGTGCATACATGATTTTCTCAACTGAATTCTGATAGTTTCAGTTTAGTTTTAATGTACTTTGCATTTGTTTTATGATTTTTTTGGTTTGTAAAATTTTTATGTAAGAATTTCGATTTTTGTTGTTGAATTGGTGATTTACATTGTGATTCGTTGTTGTTTGCTTATCGTTTTTAATTTTTCCATTACTTCATTTGTTTTTTGTCATTGTTTGGTACTCTTTGTTTGGCATTAAATGTCATAATACCAGTTTTACTGTACTGATTGATGTCTTATGTTGTCTTGCTGAACTTTTCATTGTTTTTTAGGCATTAATTTCTACAAATGGCTGATGTGTTGCTTGTTATGCTTAAGTTGGACGGTACTTGGTTGTCTGACTATACATTTTCAAGTTTGGATACATTTGGTATTCATATTGGACTTCATTCTTCGTACACGAGTTTGCTTGATCTGCTGCGTGGAATCTTAAATCAGTACAAACCAAATCATTCATTCAGGATTTCGTATATGGTTGATGGTTGCCCCCCTCCTGTTTTTATTGTTGATGATGAAACTTTGAAATTTTATCTTTATATGAAGTGTTTGCAGTCGGATGTTGCAAAGTTACCACTATGTGTGGAGTTTAAGTCTGAAACTCCACATGTGCTTCATGATTTTGTACCACTTCATAACTCACTTGCACATGGTTCTACTACATCTTCATTGTCTTTGCATGTGAGTGACTCTGATTGTAGTAATCAAGGGAATGGGTTGCATAGCAGTTTGGCTTCCATTGATGAAGAGGATGAGTTTTCTTCTTCCTCAGAAAGCAACATTTCATCCTCAAGCTATTCCAAATCATTGTCCTTACAGCCTGCATCTGTGAACCATCCTGTTGACGTTATTAGTCATTATCATCCAACATGTGTTATGATTAATGCTATTTACACGAACAAGTCTGACTTACTTCATCATTTAAAGTTGTATGCCATCACCAACAGTTTCCAATTCAGAACTCTGACATCAAGGAAGAAAGAATTACACATTATTTGTTTGGATCCGTCGTGTGAGTGGGCAGTTCGTGCAGTCAGATTAGATGGTGTACAAATGTTTGAGATTAGAAGGTATGTTGTCATGCTAACTCATATCTAATATTGTTTTTGTTTTTCTCATTATTTTTTTTTTATTATGTGATAACATTTTGTTCTTTGTCTTCGATTGCATTTATGAACATTCATCTATTGTTATCGTTACAGGTTTGATGCTGTACACACTTGCTCTGTTGACTATAGGCAATTTAATAGTAGACAGGCAACATCTAGTGTTATTGCTAATCTTGTGGCACACAAATTTTTGGATGCTTCTGTTAAACCTTATACGCCAAAACAAATCAGGCATGATATGAATTTGGAATATGGGATTTCTATGTCGTACAAGAAAGCTTGGGAAGCACAGAAACGTGCAAAGGAAAGGCAGTTCGGATCTGATGCAGAGTCATACCAGAAGCTACCTTCAATGGCTTATGTACTTGAAGAAGCAAATCCAGATTCTACCATAAAACTTGTAACTGCTGCTGATGGTGCATTTCAGTATTTTTTCTTTTCACTAAAACCTTGGCGTGAAGCATGGGAGTTTTGTAGACCTGTACTTATCTTAGATGGCTCATTCATGAAGGCATATTACAAAGGCACTTTGCTTACGGCCTGTGCTCAAGATGCCAACAACCACATCGTTCCCTTGGCATTTGCAATCTGTGATTCTGAAACCAAAGCATCTTGGCTATGGTTTCTAAGTAGGTTGAGTGGTTCAATCTCTAAGCGAAGTGATATGTATATAGTGTCTGATCGCCACAAAGGCTTAATATCTGCTGCTGCTGAAGTTTTCCCCCATGCTCTTCATGGGTTTTGTGTTGAACACTTGAGGCGTAATTTGATTTCAAAATTCAGAGGTGGTGCCAATGGTCTTGGATGGAAGTTTAAAGCTGCTTATTCAGCAAACACTATGCAAGAACTTGAGGAATATTTGTCAATGTTGGACACAGAAGATGCTAGAATCCGACCTTGGTTAAGTAAAGTTGGTAACCATAGATGGGCTAAGTGTGTTGCTGGTCCACGCAGATATGGCATCATGACATCAAATTGTGCAGAATCGTTAAACAAAGTAAATGTTTGTGCTAGAGAGTATTCAGTTTGTAAATTGGTTGATTTTTTGCGTGAAAGAATGCAACAGTGGTTCACGGAAAGAAGTGAGGAAGCCCTTAAAACATCCACTTTCTTGTCCCCCAAATGCGAGAACCATTTAGTTGCTGTGCAAGCTGAATCCACACGCATGCAGGTTTCAGTTTTTTCCTTTTTCATTAATAGAAGTTGTAACTTATTGCCATAAGTGTTGTTATATTTCCGAATGTATCATTTTATTGCCATCTTTCATTTTATGAATATGACTTTTGGCTTTTGTTTTCTTACATTCGTTATTTGATAACTGTATTTTTTATATGTTTTCTATCAGGTGAAATCAACTTTATATTTCGAGTTTGAAGTTGTGGATCGCTATTGTAGATCTTTTGTTGTTAACCTCAACCACAAGACTTGTACCTGTGGTAGTTTTCAATTGGAACAATTTGTGTGTGCTCATGCAGTTGCTGCTATTCGTGTGCGCCCCCGTTTATCTTGCTATGACTTCATCTCACCATTCTATTCACGTGATTCATGGCTTTCGACTTGGAGTGCTGCTGTACATCCCATTGTTGATCCACAATCATGGTTGGTTCCTCAACATGTTCGTGATCAGATTTGCAAGCCGCCAAGTTGTCTCAAAAGACCTGCTGGACGTCCTAAGAAGACCAGAATTCCTTCTGTTGGGGAGTTTCGTGGATCTGGATCTAAACGACAAAAGTGCTCTCGCTGCCATATTCTTGGGCATAATAAAAAATCATGTCGCAATCCTATCCCTATTTCTATGCAGTGATTATATGTGTTTCTGTTTTTTACTTCCAGTATTTGCTTAACCCTTCATATACAGTTTTATCAGTCATACTTGTTTAGTGACAAACAATGTTTCTGCTGTTTTTTTTGTTTTGTAATAGAGCACAATAATAATGTTGAAGTATAAATGGCATTCAATTTTGCATTCTGTTTTTGAATTCGTATGTTACCAGAAACATTTGTAATGAATTATACCCAAATTCCATTGTTCAATATGAATTTAAATCAATATGGACACCACAATAACAATTGCAATTAAATAACGAGTAAACATTTGCATAGTTTAACATGAGTATATTGAATCAGTTCAACTTGGAGAAAAGCAACTAAACCAAAAACCAATTCACATAGTTTTAATTGTAAACAAACATAACAAATAATGTCAAATACACATTCTTATTTCTAATAATTTCCAAGGAGTTTTCCACAAACAGCACTCCTTATCTCGTGAGAAGTGGCACTGGCTGCTGGCTTTTCTACATTGCATCGATCAATACGCAGCAGCAAGAAGCGAGCGCGACCGTGTTTGAAGAACACCATTGTTGAACGCTTTGGTATGTCAAAGAACTTCTGGATATCTTCGATCATGGAAGAGCAATCTTCATGGAACACGTTGTCTTCTTCCCCATAACAGATCTGCACCCTTTTCCTTAGGTCAACGTATGCCCTCAGGTAATTTTGACAACTTTCCTATGGAGCAAAGATGCATGACCAAAGTATCATAATGTGAAGATTTGCCTAATTATTGCTCTGTAATATGTACGAAATAAGTAATTGATGTGGTCACCTTTGTTGTTTTGAAGGGTACATATAAATAAGAGATTGGGTTAAACAACTTCTCATAGGGCATGTCTGGAATTGTTGATTTCACTAAGACTGAAAAATGATCTGCGAAATATGTTTTAAAAAAATGCACACATTATTAATATAATAGTCTCATTAAGTATAAATAAAACATTGAACTGCCTGATTGCAAAATCAAATTAAAAAGTAAAAGTAAAAATTGAATCAATAAGTTAATTTCATTTACCTATAAATGTTGTGATGTCAACTTCGTCTTTTTTTTTTTTTTTTTTTTTTTTTTTTTTTTTTTTTTTTTTCTTCATACAAACAGTGTATTATTATGTAAATAATAGTGCACAGAATGTTTCTAGGCTATGTAATCCATTGATTTTCACGAATATATAACAACCTTAATCCCATGTCATACTGGATAAGATATTGCAGTAACCCACTAGTTTATGATCTCTACTCCTATCAACCGACAGGTGATTCTTCATGTTTTTTAGAAGTCTCAGATGTATTCACACGTCCTGTCATAGGATCCACCTCACGGTTGTCTCGGGGACCACCTTTTCGTCCCATGGCCATCATTGGCGGAGGCGGCAACACGCCCGCTCTAAAAAGAAGACGCTGAACTGGATCCGATGGCTGTGCACCAACTGATAGCCAATATTTCACCCTTTCAAAATTAAGACCCATTCGTTTCCCACCATCTTGCCCCGGCAACGGGTTGTAATAGCCAAGAACTTCCAAATGTTTTCCATCCCTGGGGGATCTGCTATCAGCAGCCATCACTCTATAGAAGGGCTTGTTCTTGCACCCGAACCTTGACAATCTCAGCCTAACCACCATCTTCTACTGGTGTATAACCACCCTGTCCTAGCTCAGCAGTGAGTCAGAAAGACGGCAATCAAAATTCTATTCCAGCGTGAAGCTGCGGCACACGGCGTACCACAGGAGGTGCGGTCAGAATAGGACTATGCGGCGATGGACGGGCGGCCGGCTACAGACCTAAAAATGCAATTTGCGCGCAGATGGCGGAGAGCCGGAGAGCCGGAGAAAGGCGGTAATGGCGGACAGGGCGGAATCCCAGTTGCCTAGACGGAAGACGGCGGTCGTTTCTACCTCTGGGCTCCAGCTGCGCTGCTACGGCGAATTCCCTCTCCTCTGGAGATGCTCACAACCGTTTATGTAGTTTTGTTCATACTCCCCGTAGCCCTGGCCGCTTAAACGCAGGTTACGCAGCACTTCTCCCCCGTTGTGATGTCAACTTCGTCAACAATGGGTGAATCGTTGCATTTGATTGAGAAACCATCATTTCCGTAAACAAAAGTTTGGAATGTGTTGTTCCCAATATGGCGAAATAAGATATGTTGGCCCAATAGAACATTATTGTCAATGAGGAACTCATCAAAGCCTTTTGTGAAGCAAAATCTGTCTACGTTAACCAGCCACTCCCCACCGCCATGTACAAGAATAGCACGGTGTTCAATGTGCTCAAACAGGTGGCGATGCATGCAGTTAGGTATTATCTGAAATACAATTGCACATGTAGTGTACAAAATAAGAAATTTTTGACACCATTAAAATTTGTCAATTTTTGCCTAATATCACTTTGGCTAACACAGTACTGCTTTGGCAACCCTAAATTTTTTCACATATTGACTGTTTAAACAAGGTAAAACTTTTAATACATCTTACATATTGAATACTTACTGCTGAATCAACATCACTTATTTGCAAGATGAACCAATTGACAGTAAACTGGTGGACATCAGGAGAGTGTACAGTTAAAGAGCTTGGGCACCCTATGGCATTTCCAAACATTACAAACAGTATAATTTACACACGTTAAAAACAATAAATTCATAACTTCATCACTTACTTGTAGTATTTGTTCTCAATGAGTTCAGGAAGGTATTCAAAGTCTGCTCCAAATGTTTTGTGTCATTGAATTGCATTGGGATGTAGCTATTGAATCCTGTTGCCCTGACAAATAGCTGCCACCCTCTTCCTGTTGAGCATTTTTGTTCTTCATTGTTGCAGATGACATTGGCAATTGGGATTCTTCGTCCATTTATCGTCATCATATAGTATGTATGAATTTTTTTCCCTTCAACACTTGTGGATTTTTCAATAGCAAATCCAGTAAAGATGTCCATTTTAGTTCTGTTATGTTAAATGAAAAAAAAACATAAAAATAAAAATACACTTCATTACAACAATAAATAAAAATAAAATTTCTAAATGAAGTCCATTTATAGTATACTTTAGGAATTTCTGTGATATTTCTATATATCACAGAAAGAAGAAGGTAGAAATAAGTTTCTGATTACTTGTCTAACAATGATTAGAAGTCCAAAAAGAAATGAAGTGAACAGAGTTACCTTGTTTGGCGAGAGAGATGACAGGTTTGGTTGTCTCAAATTGGTGCAGCATGAAGAAACTGCTCTCAAGTGTTGTGGTTGTGGACAGGGTTATGTGAAGAAACTGCTCTCAAGTGCGCTTGAATTCAAAAGAACGTTGGGAGAGGAGAGAATATAATGGGAATTGAAGTAACGGTTGTCCTTGCACCGGTTCTCGCACTATTTTATCTAGTGTTATCTTATTATTTTTGAAATTAAGATGTTTGTTCCATTTCCCAATGTCAGATGGAAATATTGTATGTAATTGTTCAATAAGGTGTTAACAATGGAAATAATTGACATACCAATAATGTTTGCAATGTATTATCATCTTTTTCTTTAACATGTATTAGGACTGCGAGTCCTTTGTTAATATTTTGGACGTTTTTACATTGATTTCAATAAAAACAAATATACCAAAAATACCTTTTTATGTTAATTTCACCTAGCTACTTTGTTTACATTAATTTCATTTTTTCCCAAGCGTAGTGTGTACTTGTTCTTTCAAATATTAAAAATTGTTATTCCTAATTATCATTTTTTTAAGTTAACATGTTTGTTCCACTTCCAAATTTAGGATGGCAATATTTTATGTAATTGCTCAATAACGCTTTGAAAATTGAAGTAATTGACATATCAATAATGTTTCGTAATTATGAACTAATTGAACTATTGCTTCCTTTATTCATTATGAAGTTTCTATTTATTCATACATTATTAAAAAAATGGTATATAAATACCAAAAAAATTATTCATACATTATTCATACATTATTATAAATAAATAACTTTCTATTCCTTTTGTTTTCCTGAATGAAAAAATAAACATGGCTTTGAAAAATTATCAAACAGAGCATATTGTTCTGCCAATCAGGAAAATATGTATTTTTGTGACATGGTTAAGTATTGCCAATAAATGCCATCTCCTCAATAGAAATAAGCTGACAAAACAAAGTGGTGATAATAGTTGTCATTGTTTAATACTTTTAACTTTTCCAAAGTAACAGAAATAAACACAACCAGAAATGTCAAGCCAAACATACCCACTCGACCCCAATTACATATCCATTTAAGCAAAAAACAGTATTCGTTAACCCCACCATTTTACATATTTCTTTCTATTTTTTTGTTCCCTCGCTCAACCTTTTGTTGCTGTACTCAATCAACTCTAACACCATCTTCTTTCTGAACATCCCCATGCCATCAGCTGTCAGCTCGCATAAGTCCATATCCATCATCAAGAATTCTGCAATTTTGAGTAAATACATTCCACAATTTCCCCTGTAACAAACAACCTTTTTTATATTAGTATTTTTTATGTAATACAATTTCATATATGTAACTTATTAACTCTTTTACTTACGATGTGTCTTGTTGTGGGCAGTCTGCAACACCCTCAATAAGAATCTCTCTCTTTCCCATTGGCTCTTCATCAATTGCTTCATAGACATTGTGGAAATCGAGAATTTTGGGTAGCATTTTTGTAATACAATTTTTGTATTGCAGAATATCACGTAGTGAGTCGCTTCTTCTCTTGTTTGAGTTGTACACTTTAATCTTTCTTTCCTTGACCACAAAGACCAACAACACCCAATGACTTCCTGTGTTCAATGGCATATAAACGAAGTCACAATCTGCCCAGTGCAGGGAGAAGTTTGTTGCAGTTCCTAGAATGTATTGGGACAGAATTTCTTTGTCTGCTGCTTCTTTGAGTGTGGTCTTTCCATCTAAGATCATGTCATGCTCCCTCTTTATAATTTGAATGAAAAATGGCCCTGTGGTTGAGTACTTTTGCTTCAACTTGAAGTGTACTCTCTTCATTTCCAGATAGTACATCCCGACTTCTACATGCTGCAAAAACAGAGTTCATATCAGATGTTATTAATATATATTTCTTTAATGATTTTATTTGAATAACAGACTATACCGTGTCTTTTAGCCATTGATGGTTTAACCACAGGTCATGCAACCAAGTTTTTGACTCTATCTTCATCATGTCCAAAACAAGCGGTTTAGTGATCAACTTTTCATCATCATTCTTATATCTTCTAGTTTCATTTTTCTCTTTCTTTGGAACCTTCAAAAGCCCAATCTGGAGGTATTGGCTGAATAGTTTGGCTTGCTGTTCATCAATAGGATCGGTTGGGTCTTCTGAGAAGGGTCCATAGATCACTTTACGTGGTGGTAAGAATTCCTCTTCTTCTATTCTTTTGGCCTTTTCCTTCCTTCTTCTTTTTGCGTCAGCTGTCTGCCCTGCTGGTGTGTACCTGACAGGAGATTTGGCAGTCCTCTTTGCTCTTTGAGTTTGTGTAGATGTTTCCTTATAAGTTTCATAAAAAACAAACATTGATCAGTCACCCATAAGTTACTATTAGTTACATTGGCAAAGTATAATTGACATTAATATAATATTTATAACTTTTCACTGAAGTTATTGTCATCACCTGCACTTTGCTTCCAACTTTTTGGTTCACCTGTTCCTTCTTTTCTCCAAACACTTGTCTTTCAATCATGTCTACATTCATACACAAATCTCTAATGAATTGTGTATTTTCTTCACTCCAAACTGTATCAACATCTTCGTCATCTCTGTCATTTCCCCTTTTCTTGTTTTTTTCTGCTCCACTGTTAGTTTTTGTCTGCATAATTTAATAAAATTATTTGCTATGTCATTTTAGTGCATTTATGATGTTATATTGTATGACAGAATGCAACTATTGCCATTTTTTGGCAATTATGGTGTTGTATTACCTTTTCATTTTCTTTAGAACCACTTCTGTTCAACCTCGCTTCTTCTTCCTTATCATTGCTCTTCTCCTATAACAAACAATCATTTCTTCTCAATTATATATTAAATACAATTATATATATTTAAATCTAATGGAAATTTAATTGCTTTTTTCTCAATTATATATTAAATACAATTGTTTCACATGACAAAATATGACATGTATTACCTGGACCTCTTCTTGGGTATCTCCTACAGTGCTTTTACTTCCATTGCCAGCTGTGGCTATCTGTTCATCATTCTTATTCTTGTCCTATAATACACATGTCATGCATAGAAACCAATGAACAATATAAACTTGAAATTAATTAATTTATGATTACCAAATCAATATTTTGCTGTAAGACCCCTTCATTCTCACTGCTTCCACTTTCTTCTGTTTCTGCTTCCATATTTGATATTTTAAAACCGGGTCCACTGCAAGGTGTGGGGATGACTACATTGTCTGTTGCCTCATCCTGGACTTGTGGTTGTTTTGGTGGTTCTTCATTTGTTGCTTCTGCATCAAGTCCATTGTTGTTGATACTTTGAGTCTGCTTTTCACTTCCAGCCTTGTTGCCATCTATCAGTTCTTCAGCTCTAGATGCCTTTCCTTCTGTATTCATCTTCTTCACGTTCTTTGAAAGTTCCTTCATCAAACGAATCAGCTTAGTTAGCATCACCTCCTGTTTGTTTTGCTTGTTCTTCAAATCCCTTAACTCTGCCATCATCTTGAAATTTTGTTTTACTTGTTGGTCAAATCTCCTCAGCATCATTTTCTTCACTCCCCTCTTGGAAATCTCTTCTTCACTTTCCTCATAACTCTCATCTTCATCAGTTTCCTTTGACGCTTTCCTTTTAGTTGCTTTAGAGCTGCACTCTGGTTTGTCTTTCTGTGTTTTCCCCTTTGTGCTTGCAAACTTACCCTTTTTGGTGTTAACTAGAACTTCTTTTGTTCTCAGTTTGCCCTTTCCCTTTGCTGCCACTTGTTTATTCTTCCTCTTTTCTTTACCATCTGCTTTAATCACCTCCAGTAATCCTAGTTCTTCATCTAGTAACCTTGCTTCAGCAACACCTTGAATATTTTCCATCTCTTGTGCAGTTGGCACTATGCTCTTCCACTCAAACTGTAAACACAAAGCACAAATATTTCTACATTACAGATTTCTTCATTTATTAAGGATATGTAAATTTAAAAACATATAAATTTCAATTACCTCATCGTTATCAAATATAAGGTCACAGAAGATTTCCATGGATGGTTTTTTCTGGAAAGCCCATTTCAGTGTTCTTGGGATCACATTTTCTCTGCCTTCAATAATGCTGCACAGCCCTTTGTTAGCTAAAATTGGGAATGTTTCAAAAGCCCAGATTTGAAGTACATGCATGCATCCTGGGAATGCAACTCTATTTCCTCCACACACATTCAGTGCCTGTGCACTTCTATTGATGTTTGTAACCAAGTCCTCCCACACATCATCCCCCCAAGGATATACGTTGAAGGCTTCAATATCATGGACTAACTTTATGTACTTTGCTGGTAATGGTCTAGTGTAACACCCCCTACCCGGCCCGGAAGGCTCGGGCAAGGAGCGCTACCCGCAGTGCCGGAGCACCAAAGCGCAAACTAACTTTTCATTATCTTTTTGACCATTCTAGAAATACTTATATTTTTAAATAGCTAATGATAGTAACTTTAAGGAAATAGTAATTTCATAATAATAAATAATTGCGGAAGCATCCATATTTTATATGTAACACTTAAATAGTTAAGTGTTTGCTAATACATTCTACTCGAATGCTGACTACATATGAGTTACATATGAGTGATGCAGATTAGAAATAAAATATCATTAAATGCAAGTGTGACTCTGTGCTGATTGGCAGGTTGCTCCCAAATGCTTTTCTCCTTGAACATTGGCTCGTATCAGCTATGTGCCTACGCGAAGGACAAAATCCAACACGCTAAGCAAATCTTGCTTAGTGGTGTTCATTCTTTCTCCATAATCTCAATATAAAATATGACGTAACAAACTACTAATTAAAAACAAATATAAATTGCATTGAAATCGTAAATTTCTCTGAAATGAAATTTTTTTACTCATTGACTTGTCAAAAGAATACATTTTATTTCACGTACCTAAATATTCATTTAGTAATAATATACAAAAAAAAACAACTCGTTGAAATCTCAAAAGTTTATTTATAATCACAACTAAGTCAAATCGATCCTTGTTAGCCTATAAACTAAATTTAATATGCATCATTACTTCGTATAGTAGCAGCTTCTGTTCAAAATATTTATTTATATATATATATTTCAAAATTGTATAACATCCTGATTAAAATATCATTTTTTAATTGAGCTGTTAATGTCTCGTAATTTTCTTTGTAACATATAGAGCGATATAAATATACCTTTCTTATCAAGATATTAAACGAAAAATCATAACTTTATTTAATCGGTTATTTTATCTTGTTGTCTCTCATATTCAACATTAGCTTATTTCAGACTCAATAATTTATGAATAAAACCCAGTTCTTCAATTGAATATAAGATTACATTCTTCTATCGTGTTTCATTTTTATATTCATCTCATTTTTCCATCCATTCTTTGTGTTTCCATTTTCATCATGTGGCCTTATTTCAAAGTCAAAATTCACTTGAGCAGTATCATAGTTGTAATTCAACGTTCCTTTCCACTTACTCATTGTCTCACTTTAACTTTCATCTGCTCAATTTTCATCTTTCGCTCATTTCGTTCTCTGTCATTTTTGCTCGTTTTCACACTTTCATTCTTTTATTGATTTTCTGGAATTCTACTCCTTAGTTTAATGGACTGGATAAACGGGACGTTCTCATCTTTGGTACTGTCCACTCGGTGGCTACGGACCATCAGAGAACTATTTTGGCACGGACCACTCGGTGGCTCTGGCCGGGGTTCGTGGGGTACTGTCCACTCGGTGGCTACGGACCCGTAACGAACATATTTGGGTGCTGTCCACTCGGTGGCTACGGACCCGTATAGAAGCGCGCGTGTTAAATATCAAGATTTGGGTGCTGTCCACTCGGTGGCTACGGACCCGAAGTCATTGATCAAATTCTACGGCCGTGTTTTATCCCTATTGGCATGCCAACCTATCCGAATCCAGAAACAAGATTTCGAATTCCATTATTTTTAGTTATTCAAATTTAGCTTGTGTCATTAGTATTAATATAACTAATATTTCTTAATTCACAATGATATCATTATAATCCACTAAAGATATTTATGTGATGGGCTAAATTCCCCATCATAGTATTCAAACGTAAGTCATTAGTGCATATACACATATAGTTAAACTTAACATGTACGTATATAATTGATTATAAATCACTTCATAATATTTATAATAATTAATCCAATCCACTGTTAATACATATACGTATTCAGTATTTCAAAGATGAATTCGAATCCACTTTCATTATCTTAATATACTCGTATATTTTAAGCTAGCTTCGTACATGATTTCTCTTAATCCTTCTACTAATTTCGAATTCTAACTTGTTATAATCATAAAATATAGTTATAAGTTATCTTTATTTAATATGTTAATTACGTTGTTTCCTCATTATAAAGTTGATTTTCGAAATATAAAAGTTTATTCAACGCAATAGTATATCAATATCTAAGTCGAGCATAATGGAGTAATTAAATAACATAAGAGAAACAAAATACGGGGTAATATAACTAAACAATAAAACCAATTAAGAAGTTACCAATAACTATAAATTTTTAGAATATAAGATATCATTAAAAATTAGGAGAAGGAATGAACACAGACCTTAGACTTTTAGTAAGATTTTCTCTTTTGTTCCAACCCTTTTATTCTCCTCTCCTCTCCTTTCTTCTCTTCTCTTAGCCGTGTCTCTAATTCTTTTCTTGTTCACAACATTGCCTGCTAACTATATATAGAGAAGTATTTCTATAGAGAAGTATTTCTCAAGTATTTTCTCACTGCCGGCAAAGAAACCTACTACTCACTATGTGTATTTATCCCTTTCATTTATATGTGTATTTATTAGTTTGATTAGCTTACCTACTCCGTTTGTATTCTTATGCATGCATATTCATATGCAACATGCAATTTTTGTTCTATTCATGAATGGAGAGCCGAGTGTCACTTAAGCATGCAGATTTTGCCAAGTGTAAAAGGTCTTTGGATTTGTTCCATATTTATTGATGCTATTTATTATTATTATATTATTTTTTATTTGTTCCTTTTGCATGATATGAATTTACCACAACTAGGTGAAGCCACGTATAGCTTTTCCTTTGTCCAATGTTTTAGTTCTTAGCCACGTGCTCTTCTAATTTAATTTATTAATTTAATAATTTATTATTTTGTTTATTATTAGTGTTATTATCTTATCAAATTTTTTTGTAGAATTTTCCTACTACGGAGGAGTAACCGGCTAGTTCTTGTCTTATGAAGTTTAAATTTACTTAATTGATGTATCATTATTTATTTATTTTTTTAGAACGATCATTTTTTTTTCATTCCTTTCCAGTTGGACACACACACACACACACATATATATATATATATATATATTTGCCCATTTACCCATATTTACTTATCCATCAAATGTACAAATTTTTAATTTGTTTAGGAATTGTGATTCTTTATATACAATTACTTTTATTTTCAGGTTTTAAAATGTTTATTTTTTTTAGGATGTTACAATTCTTCCCCTCTAAAAAGAAATTTCGTCCTCGAAATTTATTACCGTAAGCAAATATTTCTGGGAGTCGTTACTTATTACTTACATTACTAGCTTCATTAACCTCTTTAGTAAATCTTGACTGTCCTTGGCTAGCTTCTTTATCTGCTAATAGTGATGGAAATATTAATGTCTATCATACTTAAGTATACAACGTCACAACCCATTCAGATAAGCTTTCAAATTTTAAATCTAATTACGTGACCATTTTTTTTAAATATACTAGTAAATATATATTACACTATTCCTTAATTTTTTTTTTTTTAATTTCATCTTGTCTATCTACTTCTAGAGTCTAGCTAGCACAACCTTATCAATTTAAATTTTATCGTCACTGTCCACTAGTTTGTTTACCATAAAGTTTTAATTTAAGTTTTAATTTATCACGTTTCCGGTTAATATAAATATACTATTTAATAACTTTGTTGTGAATAAGTGTTAGAACTTTTATTGTGGGTCAAGTTTGTCTGTAATGTCTTGTTTAAATAAAGTAGACTAGTTATACCATTTATGGTATTAGATTAGTATTTATTATGTAGCAAATAAGGTAAAGGGAATAAGGCCCAAAAAGGCCTTGGCCCAACTTCCAAGGTTTACCTAAATCGGTAACCTGTACAGCGCCTATAAATACGCGCCTTGTGTACAGGTACCGATATCGATCAATACACATTAGCCTTACGCTGCCCAAATAGTTCTCGATATAATAGAAGAAGAATTTCTCTGTTCTCGATATTGCCTTATCATTATCAGATCTTCTTTTCTTCTGTTTAATCGATGAATACCATCTAGCTGATCGTTAGTCTGCTAAACTGGGACCAACAACTGGTATCAGAGCCTGCTCGAGTGTGATCGTCGAAGAAAAGTTTCCGAAGTTTCTCTGTTTTCATACTTTTCGATATATTTCTTTGTAATCACTGTAATCTTGTTTCTGATCGATAAACTGTAAAAGTTATATCATTGGATTCGCCATTCAGAAACGAACCAAGGGTATATCTTACTTTTCGATTTTAGTAGATTCGGTATTTTTGATTTCTCGATAGTATGAGTTCGAAAAGCAGGGTTCTCGACATTTAAGCAGGTTTTTCAGGACGATAACTATACAGGAAGACTCTCGAGATCGAAAACTTCACAGAAAAGTTGTTTAAACTGTTTTAATCTGAAATTTTGATTTGCAGGATTCCGATACTACGTTCTCGATACAAGTTCTCGAACTGAGTTCTCGAGATTGCTTTCTCGACACTCAGTTTTCGATACTAAATATCTAAAAATCTGTTTTTTCGAATTGCAGGTTCTCGATACAGCTTCTCGACACTCAGTTCTCGAAACTAAGTTCTCGAACTTAGCTTCTCGATACTGAAGTTCTCGATACAGCTTCTCGACTCCTGCTTCTCGATAAACAGTTTCTCGATATTCACTATCGAAAACTGGTTCTCGATAGAACTTCTCGAACCCTAGTTTTCGAATTTCTTTCTTGAATTAGGTTTTCGACATTCTGCACTTTAAACTTTTTTTCTGATCAAAACACTCGACCGATCTGTTAAGGCTCAATCAGCAAAGATGGATGCTTTATCACTTGGTAATGACAGTAGGCCCCCAATTCTGAGGAGAGGTGAATACCAGATGTGGAGAACAAGATTCTTAAATTTTCTAGAGAGTAAAGATAACTCTTCCGCTATGCTGGAATCCCTCACCCAAGGACCTGCTGAGATTTGGGCAAGTGTGAATGGCGTTGATGCAAACAACCCACCTGTTAATCAAGAACGAAGATTGAAGACAAAGGCTGAGTACACTGAAGAGGATAGACAGAGAATCAAAGCTGATCTTATGGCAAAGACATTCCTGCTACAAGCAATCCCAAATGACATCTACATTCTGATTGATAGCATGGAGACTGCTAAAGAAATGTGGGATGAAGTAAAAAAGCTGATGATTGGAACTGATCTTGGACTGAAGACGAAGAAAGCAAACATCTTAACTGCTTATGATGCGTTCAAGGCGGCACCAGGGGAGGCGCTCCATGAAACGTATAACAGATTTGTACAACTAATCAACGAGATGAGGAAGATCAAGGTTGTGAAATCAAACATGGAGATGAATATACGTTTCTTGTCGAGCCTGCCCCCTGAGTGGAAAAGAACTGTAAAGAACCTGAGACAACACTTGGACTTAGATGAACTAGATCTCTGCACACTTCATGAGCATCTTCAGCAGTTTGTGAATGACACTGCTGAGATGGAAGGAAGCTTTTCTGCTAATCCTTTAGCACTCATGATTGAAGCTAAACCAAAGAGTTCATCTAAGGTTCAGAAGAAGAAGAAGGCAGTTAAGGTGGAAACAGAAGAAGAAGACAGTGAAGAAGAAGTGGATGTTGAATCTGAATTGGCTGATCTGCAGAAAAAGATGGCTCTGCTCACCAATCAGTTCAACAAGAAATTCTCTAGGAAGGGAAACTCCTCCAACAAGCTGCGAACCTCCTCTGCCAATTACAAAACAAAGAACAATGATCAGAACTCTTCCAGTAGAGCTGTTGCAGCAGAAGATCCCCCCAAATGCTTCAACTGTGGAAAGGCTGGACATGTTATCAAAGACTGTCGCCTACCAAGAAAAAGGGACTTCAACTATTACAAGCAGAAGATGTTGTGGAACAAACAGAAAATGTTCATGGCTAAACAAGATGATGATAGTGCTGCAACACTAACTGAGAATGACCCGTGGCAGGAGGAGAGTTCAGATGAAGAAGAAGAGGAGAATCTGGCCCTGATGGCGCTTGTAGAAGAAGAAGAAAAGGAAAAGGGTGATGCTGCGATCCCCGGAGGAAGTACAAGCTCAAGCTCAAACATCACTGTAAGTAACTCTGAAACCGTCTGTTCCTGCTCTTGTAAAGTTCACTCTTCACAAGTCAAAGACAATCTAATTACGGAGCTAAGAGACAAGGGAAACATCAACCATAAATATTTAATTGACAGTCTAGATAAAGTCAGATCTCTGAGCATACAGTTAGAAAATGAAAAAGAAATTGTCAAGAAGCGAACTTTAGAATTAGATCAACTCACCCAAAAGGTAGCTCTACTAACAAGGAAAGTTTCTGAGACTGAATTAGAACGAAACGTTGCAAAAGCCGAAAATGATTTTCTACATGAAAAAAGGTGTACTCTTTACACAAAAATCAAAGAATTAGAAGATCTACTTGCCAAGAGAGGACAAACAGAACAAACCATTTTTCTCAATCAGAACAAAGACACTCGCTTTTATAACTCCAAGGAGGGTCTCGGTCTTACTAACCCCAATAATCTGAAGAAAGTGGATTGTATTCAACTTTATGACATAAATTATATGGGGTTAGGGTTGACTAAGTTGATGGCTTTTACCTATGGAAAAGAAACGGCAGAAGAAGAAGAGGTAAAGCGATCAAACCCTTCCAGAACAGAAATTCCTTTCAACTATGACTCTCTGAATAAAAGTTATGAAAATGCTGAACCTGTTTTCTCAACTGATGAGAGTGTGAGTCCTTATCCTTCTGAAAAGGAAGCTGTGTCGGATCCAGAAACCCCTTCAACCTCAGGGTCAAATGAAGAAGAACCTTACATCCCTCCACTAATTAGAAAATTCGAAAATTTACACATCTCTTTGGAAAAACAAAGAAAAAGTTTTGAAGAAGAAAGAAAAAGCTTTGAAAGTGAGAGGGAGAGGCTATTAAGAGAACTGACCTCTTTAAAGGAAAGCTCTCAATCTGACACAACTTCCCAGTCAGCTAGTGATACAACTGATTCTCAAGAAAATCTTCACAAAACTAATGTTTTCAAAAGATCGACCACTCACTCCACGACTCCCTTGAAAACAGGAAATACCGTGAGTAGGAGACTGGAAAGGAGAAGAGAATGGAGGTTGAAGAGAGAAGAGATAGCTGAAGGAAAGAAGAAAATGTTTTCTAAACATGAAAAACCCTGTTCTAGTGCTTTGTTTTACTCGAATAATAGTAGATCTAGATTTCAGTCACAACCATGTAGTTCCAATTCAGTCTTGTGTCCCAAGCTGAATTCATCTGAATTTCCTTCTAATCAATTTTATTTCAATAATAAGTTGTATGCTCCTGGACTTGAAAATGATAGTGTTGATGTTTCTAATTTTGAATGTGGCATGAATTCTGTTCGTAAGGATCAACGGAGAGAACGCAAACAAAAGAAACAATCTGAGAATAGATCTGTAGAGGGAGTTTATAATTTTCCAAATTTAA